CGTTCTAGAAACGCCGCCACCTCCTGCCCCGGAGTGGGAGGCCCACAAGTCCCCGCGCGGCGCCCCCTGTCGCCTCTCCGTGACCGCGAGGAGAGCAGCGGCTTCTCTGGGCCCAGGTGAGGGCTGTGGCAGCACAGAGGACAGAGGCTCCCTGGACCCCACAGCGGCCACCTGTGGGCTCTGCACAGCTGAGCTCGGAGTGCTCGGCCCAGCACCCTCTTCACTCCCCGGGGCTGAGCGAGTGAGAGCCCCGCGGTGGGGTTCAGGGGTGAGACGGGGCCGAGGGGTCCGGGTGAGGTGCTGAAGGCAGAGTGAGGAAGCCGGTCCGCGGCTTCGGCGCCTTCCTGTGAGGCCCCCCGCGCTTCTGTCCTCAGCTTTTGACCCCGGATTTGATTTGGGAGGCGGCTCCGCCCCCTCCCACAGCCCTTTCCTGTTCCGGCTCCTTTGACCCCGGATTTGATTTGGGAGGCGGCTCCGCCCCCTCCCACAGCCCTTTCCTGTTCCGGCTCCCCGGCGGTCCAGGCCTGGGTCTGCGGGGAGCGCCCTGAGGTGGGCCCGGACGGGGGTCCGGAAGGAGGCCATCCCCACCTCAGGCCCCAGCACGCCTGCGGGTCAGAGCCGTGGTGTGACCCTGCACACTCGGGTACGCAGGGCTGGGGGTTCAGAGCGTGCCAGAACCCGAGGTGAGGCCCGCAGCGAGGGGGGAGGCCCCGCTACTAGAGAGGCTCCTTGGAGAGCATCTGTGGCCCGGATGTCAGCCTGGCACGCCCTGGGCATGCTGGGTGGGGTGGTGAGGTCCTCCACCTCTCACTTCTCTCTGCTTTTCCTCGGCTCATCACCCTTTCGTGTGAGCAGTGCCACCAGTTCAGCAGAGGTGTCACCGATGGTCTAACAAGGGTGGAGACCGGAATCTGCCAGGAATCAGGGTGAGAGACTCTGGTGAGCACTGAAGGTATGGAGGAACACGCACCCCCAAATGAAGGGAGCTCACTCAGCTCTTATCTGGGGCCGGGGGAGACCCAGGCACTGCCCGGAGTCTAGATGCGGGCAGATGGACTCTCTACCCATTCAGACAGGGCCCCAGTGTCACCGTGTCTCTGTTGTCACCTGGGTTCAGACCCAGGGACAGTGGGTGGGCTGGCTTCACAGCATTTCCACTCTAGGTGGCTCACAGACACAGGGCACTCAGGGAAAGACGGTGGCTTCAGCTCACCCCAGGGAGAGTTCAGACCTTGCGATTCATCCAGCTCGGAACCCAGCGAGTTCCCTCCCCAGGCACAGGGATCCGCCACCGCTCACCACCTCTTGCTGTTGCCCCTGGCAGGTGTGTCCGGGTGCATCGCCCCTGGCAGCCCCTTGTTCCCTGGCAGGGAGGTGGTCACTTGTTCTGAGAGTTCCATCTGGCCCGCCATGGGCTGGGCTCCAGGAGCTGCAAAAGGACAGTTGAGGACCCAGAGTGAGCAGAGAACCCCCCCAGCCCTTGTGAGCTCAAAGCCCACCCACCCCTCCGGTGAGGGCTGGGGACCAGGACGGTGTTTGTGGCCTAGGAGCCTCTGTATCTGTCTTACAGGAGCTCCAGGAGCCAGGTGGTGAGGTCTTGGTGTGAGGCAACACCTGCACGTCACAAGACAGGACGCGCAGACAGTGTGAGGAGTCAGGTGGAGGTGCTGGCCTCGCTGCACACCAGGGCCCCTTACACTCCAGCAAGGCGGGGACCCTGTGCTGCCTGACACCTTCCCCCTGCTGTCTGCCCTGGATCCTTGTCCTCTGGGCAGCTGCATCCCAGGCGCCTCACACTTCCACTCCCGGCTTCCCTGGGGACAGGCCCTCTGGGAGGACAGGAGTGCCAGTCCCTAGGCACCTCACAAAAGCAGACCCGAAACCAGTCTTCGTGAGAGCTGCTCTCAGCTGGGACTGCACTCAGGCGCCCTCTCTCCCCAGGCCTCTGCGTCCCTGTCACCGAGCTCTTACCAGCCTGTCCAGAGCAGCATCATCATGTTTGACTCTCCCAAGCACTACCGACCAATGGTGGAAGAGCCCGAGTTACCAAGTGAGACCCGGCCTGGTGTGCGGGCAGCTTCCCTGTGTCGTGTAGGAGGAGGCCGACTCCATGATGCACTCGATGCCTCTCCTCCTTTCATCTTCTTCCTTCTGTTGTCTGATCCTAGGCAATGAGTTAGAGGTGGTTTCTGATCCTGAGACGCTGGATCCTTCTGAGGATGCTGAGGGAGGCTCCACGTCCCCCGCCATCATGGCCTCCAGCCCCATGAGCCCATCCCACGTAGACTCCAGCAGCGACGAAGAGGAGAGTCTGCTCCCTGCACTGGCCCTGCCCGACATTGAGGCCTTGGTGGGTCCTGCCTTGGATAACAAGGTGGCCGAGCTGGTAATTTTCCTGTTCCTTAAGTATCGAAGCAATGAGCAGACCACCATTGCAGAAATAGTGCATGAAATCTTCCAAGGTTATGAGGAGTACCTCCCTGCGGTCTTCGGGGAGGTCTGCCGTTACTTCTATCTGGTCTTTGGCATTGAAGTGCAGAGAGTGGCCCCCCCCTTCCCCTGCTATGTCCTTAAGCCTGCCCTGGGCTTCACCTATGATGGCATGGTAAATGATGTCCCCAGCTTCCCCAAGACCATCCTCCTGATAATTGTCCTGAGTGTCATCTTCCTTAATGGCAACCGTGCCAGTGAGGAGTCTATCTGGCAAGTGCTGGAGGGGATTGGGGTGCATCCTGGGCAGGAGCACTTCATCTATGGGGAGCCCCGGAAGTTCATCACCGAGGATTTGGTGTGTGAGAATTACCTGGTGTATCAGCAGGTGCCCAATAGTGACCCTGCTCGGTACGAGGTTGTGTGGGGCCCCAGGGCCTGCATTGAAACCAGTAAGATGTCCATCCTTCAGTTCCTGGCCACGGTCAAAGGTACCAGCCCCAGTGATTTTTCTTTGTGGTATGAGGAGGCCTTGAGAGAGGAAGAGGAGAGGTTCTCCCCTCCAGACCCATTAGATTTGTCCTAACCAGGGCCATGTCCGGCAACTTCTGCCCCGTGCAATTTGTGAGGCAGATTCGGCCATCTGTGAAAAGAGCCTCACTTTCCTAAATGACACGGAGAATGTTTTTGCGTTTCTGTTCAGTGTGAGTCACTTGGAGATTTTTTTCTTTTTTGATATTTTCTCACATGTTCTTCCTTTTAGTAGATTTATTTAACTTCCAATTTCAAGGTTTTAAGGCACTGGCCACACGTATATTTATACATCTGTTAAGAGTTTTGCTGTTAAACAAGTTGTAAAATCTTCAATCCTACTTTGTAATGTAGAACAAGATCTTTGTCACTGGAACAAAAGCGTTCTTTGGAAATGTGAAACACGTCATGTGTAAACTTTGTGGGGACAATAAATAAGGAGGGAAAGTTCATTCTTACCTCACCCTCTTTTAGTTTGCTCTCTGTAAAATGTTTTAAAATATGCCTGTATGTGCTTGGCTTACCCAAAAATGTGGGCGAAATTTAGTCTCAATATTAAGAATCCCTTTCCCCTGGTACATGGAATCCCGAGGGTTCCTGAGCAAGAGCAAGTGCTCTTTGGAAGGCCCAGAGTCAGCGGTTTCCCTGGGGGAGTGAAGGAGGCTGAGCAGGACCCGCCCCTACCTGTAGGATGCTGGGCTCTGGGGCAGCAGCCATGCCAGGGAGAGGAGCGATGTCCTCCGGAGCCTGGAGCACAAGTGACACAGTGGTGAGCAGCAGAGAGCAGCACAGAGAATGTGGAGCCAGAGTAGTTCAGGCTGGGGAAGCTGCAGGTCCTGCAGGAAGGGCTTCCAGTGAAAATGCGTGACAGCCAGGGCCAGAAGCTCGGATGTGGAATGTGGGGACTGGAAAGGGCACACTTCTCAGCAGTGTTTTGTGGTTCACAGAGCAGAAAGGAAGCACTATCTGGGGGAGATACGAGACGTGTCCTGGGCTCTATCCCGGTGCAGCCAGACACAAACAAGCACTCGGTCACATGTGCCCCGCAACCGAGAGGAGTTCCAGGGAAATGGGGAACACTCGTGGTATTTCTGTGAAGTCGCGCCCAGAAAGCTCCAGAGTGACACGTTTTCCCGGCCTGGCAGAGACAGGAGAGTCCCCTGGAACAGTAAAGTGAGGTGACCCTCAGGCCTTTCAGACAGCTCTAAACTCGGGCCGGGTTCTGGGCAGGGATGAGCTGAATGAGAACAGTGCTTTGATGGGGAAAGGAGCAGCTGGGAGGGAGACAGAGCTGGCCCTTCACTCATTCTAGGAGGCTCAGCTGCATCCCCCGGGGAGACACCTCCACACGCTGATGATGTCACCTGTCCTCAAAGAGGGAGGAGTTAGTGAATTTTACTCCCATTTTAGCCTACTTGCTCCTCCATGTCCCACGGAGCTGCATAGTCTGATATGTCCTGGGGAGCAGTGACAAGTGCTGGGGTGGGATCGAATCCTGTTAGAAACAGCAGCCATCCGCCTTTCAGTGTGGTCAGAGTCCCGGCCAGGCACAGGGTGCAGTGCTTTCCTCGCGGTGCACACCTTCCTGAGGTCCTGCGGACCCGCCTGACCAGACTCGCTGCAGGGATGAACAGCCCCAGTCTCCCAGGGCCGGGAAGTTCCCAGGTGACTGGCTGGTAAGTGATAGGGCTGGGTGAGTGTCCCCATGTGAACACGTGATCCCCCTGCTACAAGTCCTGATTACCGTTCATCTCTACGCACAACATGTTGTGTCCCTCATAAGAGAAGGACCCTGGGGGGCCTGGGACAAGGCATCCTAGAGAGATGACAGAGTGGGGACATCTGAGCTCGGTTCTGTGAGAGCCGACCTGTGCC